CACCAAGACAATATTATAAAATAGAGTCTACCCAGGGTGTCCTCAGCAATCCTTAAAAAGGAAGAGCAACAAGACTCAGTGTGTTCAAAGTACCTAACATTTTCCCATCAGAGAAAAAAATATGACCAAATAAATAAGAAATGCATGGGTACAACACTTCAGAATCCTACAAGGCTGTTGGGAGCCTCCCAAGCCTCCATTCACATGCACCAAACTATATGGGGAATTGAAGTTGTTCACATTTACCACCACCCTATGCTCAAGTCCTTCCAGAATACTTGAAACACCCAAAATAAAAGTGCTGAACAACAGAAAATATTGAATTATTGTCCTTTCAGAGGAAGGTTAATGTTACAAAGACCACACACATACATATACTGAGTTAAGATAGCATATCAGAGTAAACTTGAAATTCTACCCCTTTTGACTCATATCCTCTGGAGTCCATCAGAAATCTAACAAAACCTTGCTCGCCTTCCTCTCTTTTTGTCAACCAGTTGGAAACATGCCTCAGATTAGTTCTGCACAGTGTATGTCCACTGTGCAATTTGAATTAGAGTTCTAATTTGGACTTCAGCTGGGTATAGGGGGAAAGAAAAGCTGCAGCCTAGTCTGATTAGAAAGTGGGAAGGTACTTTCACCCCCCTATTTCCACTGCCACTTTGGGAGGAGTGGGGGGAAAGAGGAAAAGTTAGCTGTCCCTGCTGTATGCAGCTATAACTTGGGGAGGAAGGCGTGGAGAGAACTTTCTCTCTTCATTGTACCTTGATTTTTGGGAAGGTAGAAGTCATATTCCAAGACACACTATGTACGCAAGAAAGTATGGAATGATCTTGCATATCCTGTAAGAAATCATAAACTATAATACATTAGTCCACTATAGACACTATTTCAAGAATATTGGTTAAGCACAACTTTTCAAGAAAATTTAACAAAAAAGGGAAACTGAAGCTTTTTAACTAGATAAAATCTAAGCAAACTCAGTCAATTAAAACAAACAAACAAACATGTTTTCTATAAGTTTTCCCTCTTGCTTTCAGGACAAATGCAGCACTTCACAGGACAAGAGAATTTGCTAACCAAAACTGGAAGGAACTGGGAATACTAAAATTAGGGCTTATAATGGAACCTGGTTCAAAATTTACATCTTAGTTTTTTGCTAAATGATACAAAGAATTTTACTTGTAAAAAATAGCCCCATGACTTCAATGGACAACTCACATTAAGTGACACATGGACAAAAATAACTGTATGAATGTCCGCTTGATGGGAGAAAGCGTTCCTTTTCCACACTGTGCAAGAGTACATTTACATCACCAAAATGAAACATGCAAAATAACTGTGACAGTAAGTCAAACTACATTTTAAGATGAACTGAACATAATCCACTAAAAGAATTTAAATAATACATTGAGTCAATGAGTCTCAAACCCTGGAATTAAAAGCCAATTTTCTTCTATACAAAAATGCAGGACACCCCCCTTTTGAGGTCAGGCTTTAAAAATACAGCACAGTATTTCATGTACTGGGGGCTTGATCCTACAAGGGATGTAGGACAGATACTACTGGATGCAAAGGATCTGCAAAGTCATATCAAGTGTTGAAACCTGGCCTCTGACTTCAGCAGATACCATGTGTACTCCTTAAACAGAATTATCCACTGAGCCCACATGGATGGTATCAAACCTGTTTTATTCTCTGTACCCAAGATTTCAGATTATGAGTATTTAAGCATCTGCACCTACAGTGGAGGCTTACTCTCCAGCTCATGGAAAAACAACCACTTGCTCAGTAACTACCAACCCCTTGCTTCTGAATGGTTCTGGGTACTTTAGTCAAATGGCCCTTGGTCCCTTTGCATGTGTACAGAGATGTAAACATTAACTTCTCAAATCCTCTATCCCTGTCTGAAAACTAAAATACTGCAGCACACAAGGCCAGAGGGTCATAAAAGCGGAAACCATGGATTATTAGTGGGGAGGGTATTTTTTCTTGGAGTGAGGAGAAATGGGGAAGGATGTGGTGGGTTAAGTCACAGGGAGAAGGAGTCTTGGTTTGTTGGCATTTTCTTGTGTAGATGAAAGTGTGGAGCAGAGTAAGGAGCAGTGTGGAAGCATATTTACAAAGCTACTATAAAAACTGTATTTAGTTGTAAATGAAATCAACATTTATTAAATTATTATGTCAACCAATGAAAACACACCTTTCTTTTAAAAAAAATACAATGGGAAAGTTGATAAAAATCAATTATTTAAATCCAGTTTTAGGCTTGCTGATTTAAATCAGTTATTTAAATGGACTTGATATAAAAATCAATCCACCCCGATTCAAGATGCGAAGAAGTTTTTACCCATTACCACAGACCGTATAATGTACTGACAATAAAATGAAAGACTTCACTTGACATCAGCTTGACTCAGGCCAAAAATACTTAAATCTTCATATCTTAGAATAAATTTCAGTATATTCAGACCCATATGATGTGTTTTCATACATAAACTATTTTGTCTAGTCAAGTTAAGGAAACAGAAGTGTCAAAAGCAAAGTGAAACTACAGAAGCGAATATGAAACTAGCGCCAAGTTTCGTTTCCCTCTGCTCCCCACACCAAACAGAAAAAAGTGGACTCCGGGCTCTGAAATGCATTATATTACAACAGGGAAGTCTTCAGACAAAATAAAGGACATCGCGCAAGCTGCACTACACCTACAGTGAATTCAAACTTCAAAGAATTGGTGGCAAAGCACATTAATTACACCTGCTTGTTCTTTTTGAGATTCACAGAAGTAGCACAATAGCTATTCTGGATGAGCTATGTGTATTGTCCTACAGATTAAACTACCAGCAGTAGCTGCAGTTTAGTAACCGCTAGTGTATAAAACAGTCGCACTCTGAAGTTGCAAAAGGCTTAATGCTAACAAGTGTACTGTTGCTTTCTCAAGTCACCCCACCTATAAGAGGCTGCCCTTCCTCTTGGCCACTGACAACTGCCACATATGTTTTGAAAATATTGGCATGTGAACTTTTGCCACAAGACTAAAAAAACAAGAGGCATCACTGTAAACAGTATGAGTTAGCAGATGTCTACAGGAAAAACAGTATCACCGTGTCCAATCAGGTTCAAAAGTCTCATAATGCAATCTTGCAAGTCATTTTGCAACTAGCACTGTAATTCTATCCAAGAAAGCTACTTGGTAAACATAAGGTCATTTGCACTGTTTTTTGTTGGGTTTTTATTTATTTATTTATTTTTACAAAAGCAGATTTTTAAATACCCAGATATTTATTAAATTCTTAAATGTTCAAAAAGCATATTTAAATATTATTTTTCCTTTTTTTAAAATTCTGGAAGTGAAGATCAGCTTCACAATCTATCATTTACGACAATTAAACACAAGCCATCACAGAGCTCGACAGGAATGTGACGCTCATTAGTCTGCATATGTACCAAATGTCACCACTGTAGGGATACACAGTATTTAGTAAAGACAGAATTTTTAATCACAGGGATGTGGTGCACTGACTATAGTTGTGGCAGTCCATTTTTATAAAAATGGCATCATACGACAAGACTGGGCCGGACAGAGCATCATTAGTACCCAGGGAAATTTTCACTTGCACTTTGACACAGTCCTCAGAATCAAAACGCTTCCTGATTTTGCCAGCAGGAGGGATTTTTAGAAACTGTTCTCACCAGCACTATCACCCACGCTGGCACGAGTGCTCTGGGTGGGTTAGTGAAGGCCATGTTTGATGCCCTGTTCTTTTTGTCACTGCTAGGATTTTGTTAACACAACTGAACAATGACTGTGTTTACACCAAGACTTCTGGTACTGAACCAGTGCAGCACAAATGCAATCTTTCAAGGCTTATTTTACAAGACTTAAATCCTGCATCTTCCTGGACTGAATCCCCACTTGGAAAGATTCCCATCCTGAGAGAAACGAAGTTAGTTGGGTAAATATAAAATCTTGTATTAAACCAACTGAATAGTTGGGGGAAAAAAACATTATTTGTAAGCTCTCAGGCACAGACACCCTTCTTCAGGCAGTCTGCTGTTGTTCTCTCCAGGGCCAAAAAGAAGCTTAAGCCACCATGCAGAACTTGCAAAGAGCAAGTTTTCCAACTATACAGTTGGGGTTTTTTTTTAACAGAAGATATCACACTTACCCAAATAACCTTGTCTGCCTATGTCCTTACACCAACTCCCCCCCCACCCCGAAACATCCTGAGGGGGCACTTCAACATGCCGTTCCCTAGACAAGTGACTGGTTTCCAACTCAGTGGCAGGGCTGCAGGAGGCTGACCAGAAAGCCACCTTTACCCCAACAACCACCGCCTGGAAAAGAAGTGCAGAAGTCTCAAACTCTTGGTTCAGAGGTGATACCTTTTATTAGATGAGCCAAGAAAGATTTCTTAGTTAGTCTAATAAAAGGTATCACCTCTGAACCAAGAGATGATCTGAACTAAGAAACATTTCCTAGTTGATCTAATAAAAGCTATCATCCGTGAACCAAGAGTTGTAAAGTTTCACATTTCTTTTAGTCTCAGACCTACACTGTTACTAAATACATCCCTGAACGTATCTGGAGCAAAGGCGCACTCAACCTCCAGGCCCATCCCCATCCCAGCCACTGCAGGAGGACAAGTAGCTCCCGCCTGGAACCCTCAGCACCCTGCAGCCTCCAGGACACCCTCCCAACCCCTTATTTTAAGGGACTCGCCGAGGTTATTTGGCCCCTCGCCAGGGTTATTTGGCCCCAGCAGTCTTTCCAACCCAGAGCAGGGGGACTGGACCCGATGATATCACAAGGTCCCTCCCAGCCCTGAACTTCTGGAAATCTGCGACTCGCCCCAGGCACTGCAGCCGGCTCAGGAAGCAGAAGAGGTCTGTTGCTCCTTGAAGCGGCCCAGCCTCGGGCACGGGGCAGCGAGCCGGACCCAAAGGCACAGAGCCGCCGGCGGCTCCCGCACCGTAACCCAGCCGCCCCCAGGACTCACGTAGCGAGTTTGCGGGTCCAGAAGAGGCCGCCAGGCCAGAGCTCGCGGAGCTGCACGGCGCGGCCCAGGTTGCCTTTGATGCATGCGAGCAGGCAGGCGGCCTCGGCCTCCAGCCGGGAGCCGTAGGGCAGCAGGCGGTTGTACGCCACCTCCTTCTGCGGCCCAGTACCGCGCCGCTCCTCCCCGCCCGCGGCCATGGCTAACGGCCGCCCAACCGCCGCTGCGATGGCCGCGCCCGGCCCCGCCGACTCGCGCAGCAGCGGCGCCTGGTGACGAAGCAACCGAGCGCGCGCCGTACCCCCCACCCCGCTCCGCTCCGCTCCGCTCCACGCGCGGAGGTCACTTCCTGCCCGAGGGGAGGGAGGGGGCGGGGCAATGACGGAGGCTTGGTTGAGGGGGCGGGGCCACGCTGCCCTGCGCTCCCTCAGACTCCGCTATGGGGAGGGGGCGGAGTTAACTGTCTGCCTTCCTTGTCCTCGCGCTCGGGTCGTGACGATAGTCCGTGGCCCTAGTAACGGGCAGCGGTTGGGGGGTGGGCGGTGTTAATGAGCTCCCGCGTCCTCAGCAGGGCGCGCCTCTCCACCTTCTCTTGCCCTGTTTCGGGTTTTTTAGGTCATTTCTCCTCAATATTGATTTATTTTCCTCTCTACCTTTGGCTTTTTTATTTTTTTAAGTGTCCTCCGAACCCCCATTTCAGGGATGTACTCGGTAGCCGTGTTGGTCGGAGACTAAAAGAAATGCAGAACTCTAGAACTCTTGGTTCTGAGAGGATACCTTTTATTAGACCAACGAGGAAATGGTAACAAAAATATCATCTTTTTCTGCAAGCTTTCGGGCTCAAACACCCTTCCTCTTTCATTTTCCCAGAGCCCGAAAGCTTGCAGAAAAAGATATAAATATATTTGCCACTTCCTCAGTCTAATACAAGGTATCGTGTCTGAACCAAGAGTTATAGATTTTTGCATTCCCCCATTTCAGCTTTTTTTTTTTCTTTTAGGTACCCCCCCTCCCCTTTTTGGTTTCTTAAGGTGTTCTTCCCCTGTGTGCTGACCAGACTAAAATCCTTGTTTTCTTCCCATTCATCATGCCTGCTGTTCACTGACCAGGCTAAAGTCCTGTCCCATCCCGTTCTCCCCCTCCATTGTTCGCTGGCTTGGCCAAAATCCAGTCATGAGTTTCCCTGCTGATGATTATTCACAGCCTTAGGGGAGTTTGCTGCCAGATGCAGACTTTAATTCAGTCTCCCTGAACAAGAGCACAAAAAGGCTTGTAACCTTTGTTAAGAACAAAGAAAAAGCAAGTCCTGCCTACAGCTAGTGCAAAATTTCCTGGATTAGAGACCAGCCCTTCTCCCGTGAATGGTGTGGGTTAGCATCACCTGTGCTTAGGAGATGGGTTTTTGGCTTGGGTTTGGGACAGGATCAGTTGACCAGCATCATTTTTGTGACAGACTCAACTCACCCGCTTTGTCGAAGAAGCAGCTTATTCAGTTAGGAAAGGGATCAATGTCCGTAGTCCTAAAGGCTCACGTAGGCAGCACAGAACTAGAGATTTCTGTGGTGACTTGGGGTCTGAAGTGGGACAAGCTGAGCAAGCCTGCTCAGGGGGCTGAAGACAAGCTCCTCAGGTACCTAGATCTGCAGGTACCTAAACAGATAGGTACCGCTGATATTCTCAAAACCAGTACCAAGCTGCAGCCAAAACCTGTAAGCATGCCCCAGGTACCTATTTTTCTGCAGCCTGACCCCACAGATGCCTGAGTTATCATCAGTGGACATAAATGCTGATCGACACAGGAGCTATTTGGGTCCCAGGCTCAAGTGGGAGTCCTGGAAGAGGGGTTCTTAAAATAAGCATTTTCTGGCCTACTTTGTCAGTAGGGCACTAGTTCATTGGGCAGGGGGGAGCTTACGTCCACAGAGTTCTTGCCGTTAGTGAACTCCTGGGACATGCAGCAGGGGCCTCTCACATCCCACTGCTTTAACCACCAAGCTATTGGATAGTCTGCCTGGATTTCCTGTTTTGTTTTTCACTTGCGAGTGGGTGGATTTTATAGCTAGACTGGGGGAAGTATGCGAATCAATACATCCAAGAGTGGGAGACTGAAGTGCCAGAGCAAGAGGACCACCTGTTTATCAGCCTGCAAGGAAAAACCGAGTAGTCGATCTGATTCCAGATCAAGAAATACTCTGCCCATTTGATGGTCATTTGAAATATTAACTTCTTCAGTCAGTGAAGTGAATTTCAGATGGTGCCTAGTCCTCTCATTGACTTCAGTGGGTGTAGGATGGAAGCCTATGTTGGGTATATGACAAGAGTACTGATAGCTGTTATCTCCAGCTGTCCCCTAAATATAATTGTTAATTGAAATTCCCTTCAAGAGTTGCACTGTAACCCAGCAACAGCTGCAAACTGATTAGATTTAAAGCTACTGACAAGGGCAAATTCACTTTTCTGATCTTTCTCTTTACAGGGGGAAAACAGCTGGCTTTGAATGCTGAAACAATAGCCTACAATTATAGAGTTACAGAGAGTGGAAGAAATATGACAGACAACCTGAGGAAAAAGCAAGCAAGCTACAGCTGCGGTAAGCAGAGATTTCTGTGTAATTTTCCTTGTGAAAGAATTCCCATCAAATCCCTCTATGGGTTCTATCTTGTAAAGTTGTATTTATTCACATCCCACAGTCATTAACCGTATGCGAGCAAAGAGGAAAACAGATTTGCAAGATCCAAAAAAATTAGTGCAAGGACTGTTACTTCCTTTTGGAGGAAACAAGGCATTAGTGCTATCATCTTTAGAAAAGCAAAGGTTTCTACAATTATGTACATAAACTAACATTTTCACACAAGTGCCTAAAAATGAGCATTTACATTCATCTTTATGGAAGTTGAGAGCATTCAGCATCCAAAAAAATCAGACAGCTTGATACAGTGCTTTACCTATTGATGGTTCAGATAGCAATGTTTATATTTAAATTTTCCCTATTTTTTCTATAAATAAGTTCCAGTTTTCTGTCATTTATAAGTTTGCCAACTTTAACTATTTGAGCTGAAATTGTTCATATTAATTCTCTCTCAGATTTTTTTTTAAAGTTTCCACAAAACTTACTTGTTCGTTTTGCATAATGAGGCTGGGGGGGGATGTGGGGAGGGAAGTTATTTTTACCAATTTGGGGGCAAAAAGGTTTCCAGCTATTTCTTTAAAAAGGTCTGCTACTTTTCCAGGTTTCTAGAAAAGGGAATAATCAGAAGATGTGTGTCCATATTTAATGATTTAGGGATTGTATTGAATGCTCTTTTTAACAATGACACAACAAAAAAGACTGAAGTTAAACCCATTGATTTGCTTTTTTGCTTAGGAGTGCTTTGTTATTATTAGTCATAGTCCTAATCTCTTGGGACTAAACATTCTGGGGTGGGGCATGCTTCAGAACTGGTATTTAGGCAAACAATTAAAATGTATTCCTTGTTTCTTTAGACTATTATTTGAAGCAGCTTTAGGACAAGCTTGCTTGTTGCTCAGTGTCTTTAAAATACTTTTTTCTCTACCTCAAAAACCTTTATTCACTAATGAGCATATTACATATGTGCCTCAGCCAAGTCTTCTCACACATCAAATGGATTGTGGCTGACAAAGAGAAATCATGTTCAGAACTGGTGCAGATGCTGAAGTTCAAAGGTGGGCTCCAGTGTTTAAGTTAGTTGAAAACTTAGATTATTCATTATTTGGATGATTTGAGATTAAAAAAGAAAACTAAAATGTCTCCTTTTTAGGCATGTGTGTCATGTTTAATCCTTTTTTTATTCCTGTCTTCCTAATAATAAAACCACACATTCTGAAATATTGGTATATTATGACATTGGTATACACCAGAAGCAGATTTAAACACAGTAAAGTGTTAAAAAATTACAGTATTTGAAAACTAGATATAATTTATTGCCAGTATTTAGAATCAGACTCTAATTTGGTTACTTTTTGTTAGGTATTTTCAAACTAATCTTAAAACTGTATTCTGCTGCTGCTAATAAACTACATCCCTCTATGTTGCTGTCTATTTAAACATTATTTTATCCATTGTAAATTAACATGGAAAGCAGTGCCATACTCAAAACATTCTGATCCTGGTATAAATCCTGCTATAAATTAATTTGACTTCCTGGTACTCTCATATGTACTTGTTATTTTCAGAACCTGTTATATGGAAAGAAGTAGTTCTTGAAATAGTACTATTATGGTAAATAGTCAGAATTGCTAAGTACATATAATATACTTTGCATGTTCAAGGCATTTTATGTACACTGACTTATTTGCTATTAGACATGCTTGTTTTTAACATCTTTTCTAAAAAAGGAAATCATTTAACCTCCCCCCCAGCGTTCTGACATTCAGCTGCTTAAAAGCAGCAAGATGATACACTTCTACACAAGCATTTTACTGAGTGAGTCAAAGCTGAATCCATTCTTCAAGTTTGCAACGTGCCTTGGCTGCAGTTGGTGCGTAAAAGCACATTTGGTTCCTGAGTCATATAATAACGGACTAGCTTTCTGAGCTGGGGATCCATCTGCACTGTTTGCATCAATAGCTCTTTTCCCTCTTAATGTGTAGGAGGACTATCAACTGAGAGCACCCTAAATAAGCCTGCTCCCACCTGTTGTTTCTGGCTGTAGGTTTTAAGAACTGATGAATCCAAGTGAAGTGTAGCTGTGAAGGAAATGCAGTCCCTCCATTCATGAGAAATTTCAAATTTTACCAATGGCTTCTATTATGCTGAATGCTGCTCATACATTCCTTCACTGAACTGCTTGCTGCCTTAGGCCATCTAACACCAGGTTTGTCAACAGCATTTACTTGTCACTTGGTGTAAGAGTGTGAACAATGTTAACCAACTATTTTTCCCCATAGTGGATTTTTGTTCAATGTCTAATCTGTCCTTTCAAGGTTGAAATAAATGTGAGAAGCGATGATGGGCAAACTTCCAGATATTTTGTGGTTTAACTAAGTGCCCCAATGAGGAATTTATTGTACCTGCCCCCATGTGGAGAGTAAAATTAACTTGTAAAACCCACTTCATGTAGACCTATTTCATAGTGAACAGTTAACTAACTGTTGGTAACCTCCTTCAAACAACAAAACTATAGAATTAATGATAAGACTAGTTAAGCCTGATGAACATTTATGCATAGACTAATACGATGTCTGAAATGACATACGTTGAAGTCATGTTAAGAACCATATGGAGGTCTAAGCTGGCCACCAAGTCTAGACTAACCACAGTGGGGAGATTTTTGTTTTGGCAGAGGAGTAACACTCTTGAATGCACCTGTTTGATCTACAAATAACTCTCATATTATTGCTACAAGCTTGCTGACTTGCTGACTGTGTATATGGATATATGGATGGGGGCAAGAGAGGAAAAAAAGAGGAAACAAACAGAGACAACTGCAAGATATGAGGCAATAGTACAAAGATATGATGAACATGAATAAGAATCAACAAGTGATGTAAGCATGAAATCAGCTAGAATCTAAATAAGGAAAGGTAGAATTTAATTGGATGACAGCAAATGAAGGGACTGAAAAGTATAAAAGAAGAGTTTTGTGAACAGTGACTTGGGTACCGGGAACTGAAGACACCACTGTGCACATATGCAGGAGTCCCCTTGCCTGATGACTGCACCTGGCCAGCAATGTCACTGAGCAAGGCTATTCATCCCACATGTAATGTTTTGTGCTGCTTTGTTTTGTTTAATCTGTCAATAAATCAGTGTGTCCCATATGACTGGAATGGTCAAAGGTCTCATTTATTGTTGCTGCCCTGGCCACCTGTAAGTCAAGTCTATAACACCTAGACCAGGGGGCTGCCACCTGGCCAGTGGGACTGCTTGCCATCTGTCCACCACTGGGGGCCACCAGCCTTTGCTAACACCCAAGCACTCCCTGCAACCTAACTCTCACCTGCATTTCCTCCTGCCCCCCGCCCCTCACTACTTATGCCTAGATTGCCACGGCCAACAGCCTTGCTGAAGAACAAATGTTATGTGATGAGGTAGGGTTGGGACATCAGTTCTGTGGAGTTCACCACAAGAATGAGTTGAGATAAACTGTGAGCCTCAGGACCCTAGGGATGCCATCTCTGCAAACCCTGGCCCTGAAGGACACCGTCATGGGCTGGATCTGGCCCACAGGCTGCTGATTGTAATCCATGCCTTGGTTACAAAACAAAACATTTTGCTTTTTAAAAACTTCTAGAGTTGAGGAACCTCAGGAATGCTAAGGGGTGTGGCTCAGTTACAGGAGCAGAGCCCTGGTGTGGCCCTTAGTTTTGCGCCCTGCCCCCAAGGGGAAGCAGAAGGTATCCCATTACTGTTGAAAGCAAAGTGTAGAAACATTCTTGGGTCAGGACAGGAACAGTATTCTCACTTGCTGTCCCCATATATTTTCTCCTCTTGGCTCCCCAGTGGGCCAGATTCAACTGGTAGGGCAGAGCGCACACACCATGCCTAGCCTGCGACCTAGTGATTATACTTTGCTGGGAAGCAGAAAGTGTAGGTTAAAACTCCACTCTGAATGAGGAAGGTCTAGAATGTTAGTCTTCTTGGCAAGTTTCCTACCTTGGGCTCAAAGGTGGGTGGGTCTTCTTTCTTCTGAGCTCTACATGGAGTAAGATCCTACCCACTTGTGGAAAGAAAGTAACATCTTCCTAAGTGCCCCAAAATGCTAACTTCAGGTGCACAAGTGCTGCTAACCTATCTCAAAGTGGAGTTGGATTTGGGCCTTTGGGTTTGTGGTACTGTAGGTATATGGTAGAGTTGCCTCCATAGAGGTGGTATCTCTTTCTGCCACTATAGCAGTTACAAGTTTAAAAACTGATCAGAATTGTAGTTATATTACCATCCTCAGTTTCATGTTTTTGCTGTTCTCTGAATTTGCTGGAGACTTAAAATTTACTAAAAATCCTGTGATGAAGTGATATGAATCGCAAGGATTTTTTCAGTTATGAACTCTTGCCTACTAAACAGTGTAATTTCTCCATTTTCTCATAATTTCTAACACAACATAGTTACAACCCGTCCTTACAAAGCCATAACCGAAGTACTCACTAGGGTAATTTCATTAAAACAGTTCAGTTATACGAAAGGTTGAATCTGTTTCCTCTACTCCTGAATTTGTTTTGTTAGACTGATGGTTAGCTATGACTCAGAAAGAAAAATTCTCTTAGATTTATGTAGCAGAACTAGATTCTGATGATCTACTCCTACATACTTGAACCTCTCAGAGATAACCCTGAAAACTGTTGGGCCCAGAGGGAGAACAGAATATCAGAGTTGAGTATTGCCATATAAGTCTTACAGCTGAAGTTTTGCCAGGTTACTTGGCAAAATTTCAACTGTTGTGTTATGGGGGTTGGTACAAAAAAGAAAAAACAAACAAACAAAAAAAACCAAACACAAAATGGATCTCTTTCTAACATAAAATAAACTCCCTAGGGTCACTGTAAGGTTCAACGAAAGAGGTATCACATTTTTAGTCTTTCAACATTGGAAGATTGCTTTTATATTCCATCCTCCTGCCAAGCAGAAACCAACTTCAGGAGAGCATGCAACGGCAGGGGCTTTACCAGAGTGATTCTGGAGATTATACTATCTTTGGATATCCAGGAAATACAGCACCCTTCACAGCCTGCAGTCCTTCATGTCAGATATTATCATGAAATATTGTGTTGCGTCAAACAACTGGTCTCTTGTGCCAAGACCTTAGCTTATCCAGTTCTAATTGTATCACTAACCACAGAACTCCCATGGCAGTTTTTTCAGCTGCAGATATATCTACCAAGCCTTCACAGGGAGTTCTCACTTCTCCGATTTGTGGATTTATTCATCTCTCTCCCACCATCTACTACAGGTTTATCCCAACACAGGTCACAAAGCTCCAGTAACCTACCAAGAAGATTATATACAGACAACTGCTAACTTTAAGATAAAGCCCAGTTGTGAAATCTTTGCTCATGACTAACAGTACTTCACAGACATAATCCTAATGAAGTCAATGATACTTTACAAATAGTGAAATACTAATCACAGCAGGCAGGAGGCTATCACAGTCTTCTATAAAAACACTCCCAAAGCAGTTTTGATTTTCCTTCCAGATGAAAGCTTGGGACAATTATAATATGGTAAGAAACAGCTGCATTCTCAAGATCCCCCATAATAGAAAGTTGACACCATATGACACTCTTTGAACTAAGTGGTTAACTAAAACTTTGGCAGGTTTCCAAGTAGGATCACAAATTGGTGATGGAATCAAGTACAAGTCTATTTATTTACAAAACAATTAAAAAAAAATACAAAGCCCTGTTTCCCCACACAGGTGAAATCAACAAGAGACATCTTCACTTTGTTTCTTCAGCCACAATTCAGTCCCAAAAGCTCTCTCTACACTTTTCAGAACCAGCTCTTAGTGATTATTCAGGCTGTATCTTCTTTTCTGCTCTTTTTGTGCCCATTTTTTAAGTGTATTGCATAGTTTCACTCTCTCACACATACATACCTCAACAGTATGGAGCAAAGCTTCTCCCAGTAGCATAACTAAGGAAAGGGGGTGACAAGTGGGGCATCAGCTATGGGTGCCGAGTTGGGGTGGGGCAGGAGGCACAAAAATAGTAGCTGCCACCATCAGTGTACCTACATCTGCAGCCCCCCAGGTGCAACACTGGCCAGTTATGCATCTAGCATCACCTCCCAATTCCTGAGCCACCATACATGTGCCTTTGTTCTGGGCACTGATGTGTGTCCATCACTAGGTGGAGGCCCCTATTATTTCAGATAAGTGATTCCATAAAGGAACATAGCAAAACTCTTACAATCATCTTAAATGAAGGGTGGTGGTTATATCCCGAAGTTTAAACTAGCCTAAAACCACATTCCCACCTCAGCTCTGCACATTGCTCCAGTGCAGCCTAAACTGGTGATACTATAAACAAAGCATCCCAAGGAGAGAGAAAATAAATCTTTTAACAAATAATACAAATCTGAACTACTTACATACCATCTTACTGCTAGGGTATGCTAAGACTGCAAATTCAAAAGCAATTTTAATCTTGCCAACATCTCTTCGGAGATTTCAGATTCTTGCTTAATTTTCTTTCAGACAATCAAGAGTTGCCATTTATAATGTTCACGGAGTGTGTCTATTGTTTCTGTGCAAACTCCTAGCTGAGAGACTCAGGGAAAACTATGCTGAAATCCTGTCCTTTTATCAGTTTCTTAGATGGTCTGAATGGATAATCTAGAGTAGGGTTCTCGAGTTTGTTCCTGAAGGGCCACTTTGGGGGCGGGGAGAATGACACCACACTGCGGGGCCACATAAAATGCAATGAAGTACCTTTATGTTCACTAGATATAACATTATCTGCCTTACATATACAAGGAGAATGCAGAATCATTGTTTAATTCATGCTCAAGTGAGATTTATGCAGCTGATGTTTCTTGTCAGTAAGATGTATTGGGCTACCTCATGTAACCATCACCCAGAACTTTTAGCATGTTAGTTTCCATTGGGCTGTAGGGAGGGTGGAAGGGAAGGGAAGCTGTATTTCCTGATGGTTTTCTAAGAGTATTACACAGTACATCAACAATCTTTAACAATGGATGACAGGGCTTCTGCTAAAGTTTATCAGGTGGTTACTACTGAACAGTCAATGTCTACAGCCTTGTCCATCAATGGGTTCTGTTGAGGATTCCTACATATGGGCACTTTCAAATGCAAGTGGCCTTTAGGATCTTTGGGTTCTTGTGTCAAAATGGACTCCAAACTTTAAGTACAAGTTCCTTAAGGCTAAGTACAGACAGTCAAAAAGCCTAAGGCTGAATCGATACAGTCTTTGCAGGTTAGTCTAAATTGCACAGATTAAATTGAAACAGAAGTAAACAGACATTTACCTTTGATTTGGGAAATGCAGCCACCTGTCTGCAGTGGCTCAAGCCAGAAGCTGGAGGGGCACTAGAGCAGGGCCCTTTGGCAGTGTGTTCACTTCCTCTTCCTGCTGCCCCTGAAGTCGCTGGGATTTGCAGTCCAGAATTACTGCAGCAAGACTCTGCTGGGTTGTTGATTACTACTTCTTCCTGCTTCTAAGTGTCTCTGGGATTTGTAGTCCAGTTGCAGCCAGCAATAAGTTTGAGTGGGGGAAGGTGTGTTTCTCTCTCCTCCCTGGCCCCAGACCCCAGCTGGGGTTTTGCCTGGGGGAGTCCCTCCCTGCAGACTGGGCTGCATCCCCAGCCTGGCTTGCCATCCCTCCCACCCCCTTGTCAGCCAGACTTCACTACTCCAGCTAGGGAGCAGAGGGGTGGGGTCAGCCCTGCTCTCTGGAGCAGACAGCAGAGTGCAGCCCAGCTCAGCCCAGCCCAGGGCTGGAAAGCATGCTGGGAGACTGTGATTTAAGTTGAACCAGGAAGGGATCTGGGACAGAAGTTTCATTAACCAGTTTGACTCAAATCAGTTAAGTCTGATACTATATTCAACCAGGTTTATCTTAAACCAGTTTCAGTCATTTTGAAACTGGTTTAATGTGCACTAAGCTTCTGTTCTGTTACAAGTTTAAACCAGTTGAACAGGTTTATGTGCATCTTCTGTTCCCTAACCTAAGTGTGTCAAATATTAAATATTTTTTCAGCACAGATGGGTCAAGACAAAGGCATCCCCAGTAGCCTCTCTCAACTCTGACAATGTTAAGTCACACACAGTTGAATGGTGAAATGACTTCCCCTTCTCATAAAG